AATAAGGAGAAAGAGCTGGTCTTTATATCGGTGTATGAGCAGTTGTTAAAGGAGAAAGAGGAGAGTACAGGAGTACCTACATCTACACCTTGGCACATCTAATCACACAGAGCATCAACCCACCGATCCTGGAAGGATCAAAACGTTTTTTTTTTGCCTGAATTCATTCAGGCAAACTTAAAGGTGAGCGCATAGGGAGAACACAAGGCAGCTGGCGAGAGGGAACAAGGATTCACCTGCACTTTGGCACTTGCTTATAAAGACTTTATTTATTTATTTTTCATGTATTACACTTATGCACGTGCACATTAGTATATTTTTGCACTAATATTGCCGGATTGATCACATATAATTAGAGTGGCACTAATTATATTTATACTTTTATTGATATATTCACTTATTTATTATTCACATTATATCAAGGTCCTATATTGATTATTATTTATCACACAAATTTAGGTTGTGTATGTGTGTATTGGCAATATATCAGCAATTATTTAATTATATTAGTTTATGGAATATCACTATTTATTAAGTAGAATGAGCACAGATTGGATATAGAGACATAGAGATATATATGTATACAAATAGGAGCGCGGCATTTTTGTGGAACCCTATTGTTCCTCCATAAGTTGCTAGCAGTTCCTTGAGCTGTAAGCAATGGCAACTCTCCCACCTACCCCAACATTCAATGTTAGGAGGCAATTTTCCACTGTCCTCCAATCTAATCTACACTGACCAGCAATGTAGGAGGGCACTTTTCATAGGACCACTATAGGGCACTTCTCTGATGGCCTCTACAATTTTCGCATGCTGTCTCCTTCATGCCTTTATTATTCTTTATGTCCTTTTTTGATTATTGTTGAAAAACATTTTTGCGTGTAGAGTAGGGGGTGTCATATAATGATGTGTTTTCCGGAAGTTTAGCTTTACATGGAATATTATATTTGGTGGGGGCCCCTTACACAAGGCCTAATGTTTTACAGAATATACTGTATCTACCATTTTTTATTGGGGCACATTCAGAAATAGCTTGCAAAACAATCAGGAAATCACAAACACTCCTCTAGGTTTGATATTATTAAGCAACACCAATAAATTACATCTCTCACTATTGTTTTAAACATTTTCCAGATAATGATTTCCATAAAACAGGTTCAATACCTGAATATAAAATGTTGTTTTAGCATATTTTAGATAATTCCGGATTACAAACAGCACGACAAGAACTCCGTTTTGTATTATTTTAAAGTATGACTGCTTATATTTTCATGAATGTTTACCACATTTTCTTTTATGGGAGATCAATGTGCATTATGGCTTTTCCTTTAAAGTGTCTTGCGGAATCTAAAGCCTAATTCTTCCTTTGGAGTAAATTTTCTGGGAATAAATGCAAGATAATCAAATGGCATTATTCTATGCAGAAAACTGTATTTTGTTTTTACGGGGTATCATACACATTCCATTCTGCCTTCTTCTGTCTGCAAAAATATTCACTGTCAACTGTCAAGATAAAAACTGTCTTTACAAACCAGTAGTTTCTCTATGGTTCTGTTAAATCAGCATTCACAAATGTCATTGGTTCTGAAACACTGTGCTCAACGGAACTTCAAATAGCTCTCTGAGCACCACATTTCTACATTTCAAAAAAGGAAGACTTTATAGAGAAAAATAGGAAAATGTATGATAAAGCTCAGAATCTCCTCGTAATGGTTTTTGGTTAAAACTGAATTTTTCTTTTAAACGATATTTCAATCAATAAAATAAAAACCTGTGCTGCAGAAAAAACTCAGAACTCGAAATGCAATTAATACATATTAAACATTGTGAACCTGCTAATTTCCAGTGCGGGCGACGTGCCAGTAGAACTAATGGCACCCACCCGTGGGTCCGCATTTCTCTGTGCGGGTTGTGCGGATGCACGGATTTTCGATCCGCAGCGGCACCATCCGCACAGATGTGAACCTACCCTTAGTGTGGTCAGTTTTTTAATAGGAAAGCAGAGGGACTAGCAGTGACACCAGGAATTTCACACAAAGGAAGCAATACAAAGCGAACAGAATACCTTTGCATACAAGTACATGGTACATCAGACACATATCAGGAATATGAAATGTTGGGTTTACATAGTCTTTAATTGTAATAAATTATATTTTATTTGACTAATAAGACTCCACTGTTATTTAGCAATGCTAATCTAAGTCGTTTTTTTTTTTTCAAACTGCTGCATCAGGGAATGAATTCTGATTGGCTGCAGTAGGATTTAAGCATTTAAAAAAAAAAAAAGTGTGTCTTTTGGCTATCCACATTTTCTTTTACCCACGGTATCCTCTCTTCCTTCTGCCTGCTGGCACACAGTGAGCTGTGGGTTTGGGATACATGTTTTATTCACCAGAGAGTGATATCATTTCTGACAATAAATTATCTAAGTGTGAGAGGAAGGAAGCTGCTTGGAAAGAACATTGATTTCTCAGCCCCTAGCTGGGGCCATGAACCCAATAGAAGAAAGGACAGTCCAAGCCTCTATTATGTATATATGAATAAGTCATTCTGTGCATTATACAATGGGCCAAAGGAAAACCAGCATGTAGATGAATGCATCTGTAAATAGCAACACAAAGAAAAAAATACATTATATATACACAGACAAAAAAATATATATATACATATATAAACTGTATATATAGTGAAAAAAAATTGAATGTTGTCAATAAATTACTTTACTAACAGACAACTGTCCACACATTTTAAATTCTGATATACATTTGCAAAGCATTGTACAAAAATCTTTGGGCTTATACAAGATCCAACTCAATAATAAAATGTGGATGAGGTCATGGGTAGATTGTAAATTTGACTACATGTATAATACTATACTGCATGCTCTCCTTTACATTTACCAACAGCTACTGTATATATAAATTGAATGGGTTGTTTCTATAGACCCTCACACTGCATAGCTGATGGTAAATCTAACAGATCAGTACATAGATTGTGAAATAATTGTAGTAGAATGCATGTAGAAGACTGAGTTAAGTAGATCTGCCTGTGTAGCTTGGGACACAGAAAAGATAGGCACTGTGTGTAATAAAGGGGTATGAGACACTGTATACACAATATTAGAGAGGTATGAAGCACTGCATGTAGTAATGAGAGGCATGAGACACTTAGGGGCTGATTTACTAAAACTAGAGAGTGCAAAATCTGATGCAGCTCTGTACAGAAACAAATAAACTTCCATTTTTTTTTTTGTGAAAGCTTAACTGAACAAGCTGAAGTTAGAAGCTGATTGGATACCATGCACAGCTGCACCAGATTTTGCACTTTCCAGTTTTAGTAAATCAACCCCATTATGTAATAGAAAGGTATGTGTACCTGTAAGTACACTGCTCAAAAAAAAATTAAAGGAACACTTTGAAAACACATCAGATCTGAATGGGGAAAAATATGCTGGATATCTATACTGATATGGACTGGATAATTTGTTAGGAATGTAAGGATGCCCCATCGTTTGATGGAAATGAAAATCATCAACTTACAGAGGACTGAATTCAAAGACACCCCGAAAATCAAAATGAAAAAAATTATGCAGCAGGCTAGTCCATTTTGCTGAAATTTCATTGCAGCAACTCAAAATGGTACTCTGTAGTTTGTATGGCCCCCACGTGCTTGTATGCATGCCTGCCAACGTTGGAGCATGCTCCTAATGAGACGACAGAAGGTGTCCTAGGGTTTTTCCTAGCAGATCTGAGCTCCTGGACAGTCTGAGGTGCAACCTGGCGGCGTTGGATGGACTGAAACATGATATCCCAGAGGTGTTCTATTGGATTTAGGTCAGGCAAGCGTGGGGGCCATTCAATGGTATGAATTCCTTCATCCTCCAGGAACTGCCTGCATACTCTCATCACATGAGACTGGACATTGTCATGCACCAGGAGGAACCCAGGACCCACTGCACCAGCGTAGGGTCTGACAATGGGTCCAATGATTTCATCCCGATACCTAATGGCATTCAGGGTGCCATTGTCTAGCCTGTAGAGAACTGTGCATCCCTTCATGGATTTACCTCCCCAGACCATCACTGACCCACCACCAAACGGGTCATATTGAATGATGTTACAGTCTGCATTACATTCTCTACGGCTTCTCTAGACCCTTGCACGTCTGTCACATGAGAGCAGGTTCACCCTGAGCACATCTGTGAAAAGCACAGGGCTCCAGTGGCAGACCTGCCAATTCTGGTGTTCAATGGCAAATGCCAGTCGAGCTCTATGGTGCCAGGCTGTGAGCACAAGGCCCACTAGAGGATGTTGGGCCCTCAGGCCACCCTCATGAGGTCTGTTTCTGATTGTTTGGTCAGAGATATTCACACCAGTGGCCTGCTGGAGGTCATTTTGTAAGGCTCTGGCAGTGCTCATCCTGTTCCTCCTTGCACAAAGGAGCAGGTACTGGTCCTGCTGATGGGTTAAAGACCTTCTACAGCCCTATTCAGATCTCCTAGAGCAACTGCCTGTCTTCTGGAATCTCCTCCATGCTCTTGAGACTGTGCTGGGAGACACAGCAAATGCAATGGCAATGGAACGTATTGATGTGCCATCCTGGAGGAGTTGGAATGCCTGTGCAAACTCTGTAGAGCCCAGGTATTGCCTCATGCTACCAGTAGTGACACTGACCCTAGTCAAATGCAAAACTAGTGAAAAACAGTCAGAAAAGATGAGTATGGAACAAAATGTCAGTGGCCTCCACCTGTAAAACCATTCCTGTTTTGGGGGGTCATCTCATTGTTGCCCATCTAGTGAACTTGTTAATTTCATTAACACCAAAGCAGCTGAAACCGATTAACAACCCCCTCTGCTACTTAACCTCCCTGGCGATATTCCCGAGTGAAGCTCGGAGTAAAGTTTCAGCACCACAAGCGGTAACCCCGAGCTACAATCAGGAATACCTTGCAGCGTTGCTCCGGGATCCCTTCTTCACTTACCTTGTCCTTCGCTCCCGCGATGTCCCTCCTGCAGCGTCTCCGGCAATGTCCTCCAGCTGATGCCGGCATCTGTCTTCTGGGTTCCGTTCCCTGCGACGTCAGGACGTACGGGGACGGAATTGGCGGGAAATTTAAAAATGTCAAAAAGTGACGAAATACACTAAAATCACATAGTAAAACATTGCTGTATCAAAGCATTTCACATACATTTTGTCCCGAGTGCTTTGTCCTGTGCCCTGCCTGCATTTTTACTGTTCTTTCTGCCTGGAAACTGAGAATTGTCCATGGCGTCCAAAAAGTGTCCCTTTAGGTCAAAAGCGGGTTTAGATCAGCTAGAGAACAGCGATAGTAAATTAGAACCACTTGCAGAATTGAGTGATAATGATTTGTGGGGAAATTCGTCATCAGACACTGAAAACGATTTTGTGACTTTGCTCAGTGATGTGCGAACTTGGCGCTATATTTCAAATTTCAGTGTTTTTGGTTTGATTATATTATTGAATTACATTTATTATTATATTATTTTTTATGATTATTATATTATAATTTATGATTTCGTGTTTCAAATTTTAACATACCCGGGATGTTTACTAGACTCTTGTTCGGACAGATTTCAGTGAGTTATTCCTAAAAATTACAGGTCTACAATAAAAAAAACTACATATTTCCATGCAAAAAAATGTACTGCTTTTAGCATAGAAATATGGACATAATCAGACCGCTAGGGAGGTTAACTGACCAGATCAATATCCCAGGAGTTGATGCTATACTGTGATTAAAAAAGTTCTCCTTTAATTTTTTGGAGCAGTGTATTTCAACATACAGTAGGTTCAAGGCACTATAGGTCCGTTCACAGTGTTAGCACAAGGATAAGGATCTTGATTTTAGTCATGGGACTGTAGCTTTCAAATCAAAGTTTCATTGAGCATAACTGAAAATAACCGTCACGTGAAAAGAAGCTTCCTGATCCTTGTGTGCTTTATGATCTGAGCCTTATATTTAAAGGGTATTTACACCTATTCATGAAAAATAAAAAGGTGAACGAATTGCAGATATCCTGGCCACTCCTCCAGACCGCAATGACAGCTGTGCTGTCCCATGCTGCTGGTGTAGTGGTTTGAGACACGTTTGACATGCTTTTGATTACATTTTATGGAGATTTAAGCAAAACTAAAACATTGCATTTCAAATCCTTCAAACATACATCTCAAACACATGTCAAATGCAAAACACAACCACATATGAAAACCTCAATAGTCCACTGACATTTATCAGTTAACTGAAATGCATGGGAACACACCATGACTGCTTTGTGGTGCCCAGGGCTTTTTTTCTCAGAGAATAGGTGCAGGAATTCAGCCATGCCCCTCTTCCCACCAAACAGCATCAAATGATGGGTGTGGCCAAACTGCAGTGGGAGGGTTTTAAAGGGGCATTAAATATGGGGAGTGTATTACATACAGAGTGCAGAGTACAGGAGGAGTGTGTATGTAAAGGGTGCAGAGTACAGGAGGGCACTATGTACAGGCTGTAGGGTCCAGTGGTGTGCTTCTTACAGCGTGCAAAGTTCAGGAGTGTGCTACGTGCAGCGTGTAGGGTTCAAGGATGCTCTATGTACAGAGTGCAAAATTCAGGGATGTACTATGTACAGAGGGCAGATTTCAAGGGTGCACCACATACAGTTTGAAGGATTCAGGGGTGTGCCAATTACAGAGTGTGGGGTTCAGGAATGCGCTATGTGCAGAGTGCAAGATTCAATGGTGAGCTACGTACAGAGTGCAGGGTTCAGGATCAGCTATGTAAAGTGTGCAGGGTTCATGAGTGTGCTTTGTATAGAGTGCAGGGTTCATGAGTGCGCTTTGTATAGAGTGCAGGGTTCAAGAGTCTGCTATGTACAGAGTGCAGGGTTCAGGGGTGCGCTATGTGCAGAGTGCAGGGTTCAGTGGTGCGCTACGTACAGAGTGCAGGGTTCAGGGGTGCGCTACGTACAGAGTGCAGGGTTCAGGGGTGCGCTACGTGCAGAGTGCAGGGTTCAGGGGTGCGCTACGTACAGAGTGCAGGGTTCAGGGGTGCGCTACGTACAGAGTGCAGGTTCCAGGGGTGCGCTACGTGCAGAGTGCAGGGTTCAGGGGTGCGCTATGTGCAGAGTGCAGGGTTCAGGGGTGCGCTATGTACAGAGTGCAGGGTTCAGGGGTTCGCTATGTACAGAGTGCAGGGATCAAGGGTGCGCTATGTACAGAGTGCAGGGTTCAGGAGTGCCCTATGTACAGAGTGCAGGGTTCAGGAGTGCGCTATGTACAGAGTGCAGGGATCAGGGGTGAGCTATGTACAGAGTGCAGGGATCAGGGGTGAGCTATGTACAGAGTGCAGGGATCAGGGGTGAGCTATGTACAGAGTGCAGGGATCAGGGGTGAGCTATGTACAGAGTGCAGGGATCAGGGGTGAGCTATGTACAGAGTGCAGGGATCAGGGGTGAGCTATGTACAGAGTGCAGGGATCAGGAGTGCCCTATGTACAGAGTGCAGGGTTCAGGAGTGCCCTATGTACAGAGTGCAGGGTTCAGGGTGCACTATGTACAGAGTGCAGGGATCAGGGGTACACCCGCATACAGGGTGAAGGGTTCAACTCGCTTTCACAGGCCCTTACCTCTGCATCCCCCATGAACATCAAATTTCTACCCCTTCTCAGCTCTGACATCTGCACCACTCTCACACACCCCCAGCTCTGCACACCCCCCTTCACTGCCCTCATATTCTCCAACCCCCCATTCCTTAATAGCTTCTATGCATTTTACCCCCACACTGTAGGCATCTGTACCTCTCTTATTTGCAGCAAAATCATCTATAGGTGTCAGCATCCATTCACCTAGTAACAGATAGTAAACCAAGAGGGTGCAGCCTAGCACACAATGCACTAGCACCTGCATCTCCCTTGTCCACGCCATGAATGTAGGGCAAGTAGGGATCCATAGTGCCACTGGGAGAGGCAAGCTGTGCTTGTAAGCCCAGCTTCTGTTTTACCAATGACAGCGGTTAACCAGGAGGATGAGAACCAGAGGTGGTGGAACAGAATTTCACCAATTTCCTGCTGAAAAAAAGCCCTGCTGGTGCCATTCATATTTAATGAAAGTCTAAGGCACTAAGGCTTCCACGCTACCTGCATCATCATGTTTGTATCATTTGGGGGATCAGAAAGGATTTTTTTCCCTGCTGGAGCAAATTGGATTGTGCTTTGCTGGGTTTTTTTTGCCTTCCTCTGGATCAACTGTGGCTAAAGGATTAGAACTTTTTTTTTTTTTTTCATGGTAGATGTACTTTTGTCTTTTTTCAGCCAGACTAACTATGTAAATTGTGCATTGTGGTGCACTGCAGCTCTGTCAGAAAAAATGGTACTTGCTCAATATTCAGTCCATTTTTTTTAACAGGTAAAATTCAGTCCATTTTGATCTGCTGAATAGGATTCCTGAACACGATGTGCTTTGCAACAGGCAACCTAGGTGGCCCTAGCAGCCCTGGGGAAGGGATGTATCCATTGACAGAATAAATACATACATTCCATGTACACAGATACTTTAAAGATAGCTTACATATACACCTCTATATTGGTAAACGATCCCCTTTGAACTCATTTTCTACTGATTCTTTCCCTTTAACATTACGGGGTTAGAAAAGCAGCTGTCAAGAATGAAGGCTGAATAATGACACAAAGCTCTGACCTTCTGCAGATCTCTTTTGTGTTTATCCAGAGGAAGACAAACAAACAGCCTTCACTATGCCACTCTTACTTAGCAAAATAAATCCTTGGGTACATAGACAAGTACACAGTTAAAGCAAGATATATAGACAAACAGACTGGCAGAGAGATACATTACAAATACTGACAGGTACAGTAGAGATGTAGAGGAAACGACAAAGACAAATATACAGACAAATGCCAACATGCAGCTATTGCTTGGGCTGAAGAATTAGAAACGCCAACATGTGGTTACTTCTTGGGCTGGAGAATTAGAAATTAAGTAGAACCACACTTTTTAAATCTTGAACTTTTAAAGGAAATGCATTGTGATTTTTGTAATTCTTCTTTTTTTTTTTTTTTTTTAGTCCTGACATAAATAAAATAAAGGTTAAAATATTCATATTTTTTCTTCATTTCAGGGAAAATATTGTAAGTGAATACGAAGTAGTCCTCCATTAGGTAAGCATACAGATCTTTAGGCTCCTTTTCACAGGCTTTACAGTTTCTCGTAACCATGGTGTTTTAAAAGGCCTGTTTACAAAGGTCAATAGCTAAAGATGAATAAGCAATCATATGGCTTAGCTTATAATGTGAATTAGATAGAGCCAGCCTTAAAAGAGATAACTACCTTTGTGTTGTATCTTTAGCTAACCCAGAGTGCTTTGGAAATGCTTTGTAATGTATTATTTTCCCTCACTGGGAAACAAATATACCCCCTCCCACCCCACCCGTAAGCTTTTTTTCTTACCTGAAGCTACACTCATGTGATGCTACAAGCCAGAATCTCCATCTCTTCCGTGGAAGGGAGGTGTGGGAAAAAGCGGCAGGGGTGCGCAAAATCACGTATACAGTGGGGCAAAAAAGTATTTAGTCAGCCACCAATTGTGCAAGTTCTCCCACTTAAAAAGATGAGAGAGGCCTGTAATTGGCATCATAGGTAGACCTCAACTATGAGAGACAAAATGAGAAAAAAAATCCAGACAATCCCATTGGCTGATTTGGAAAGAATTTATTAAATTATGGTGGAAAATAAGTATTTGGTCACCTACAAACAAGCAAGATTTCTGGCTCTCACAGACCTGTACCTTCTTCTTTAAGAGGCTCCTCTGTCCTGCACTCATTACCTGTATCAATGGCACCTGTTTGAACTTGTTATCGGTATAAAAGACACCTGTCCACAACCTCGAACAGTCACACTCCAAACTCCACTATGGTGAAGACCAAAGAGCTGTCGAAGGACACCAGAAACAATATTATAGACCTGCACCAGGCTGGGAAGACTGAATCTGCAATAGGCAAGCGGCTTGGTGTGAACAAATCAACTGTGGGAGCAATAATTAGAAAATGGAAGACATACAAGACCACTGATAATCTCCCTCGATCTGGGGCTCCACAAAAGATCTTACCCCATGGGGTCAAAATGATCACAAGAACAGTGAGCAAAAATCCCAGGACCACAGGGGGGGACCTAGTGAATGACCTGCAGAGAGCTAAACTATAAACTATACCTTTCACGTAAACCAATTAATTTAGATGTATTGGGATTTTTTTTAGCCACAACATGTAGCAGAATATGTTTTTGCCTAAATTTGACAATTTGATTTATAATTTTTTTTTTACTAGACATGTTTAATAGCAAA